GTATTTAGCTGGCCGTAAAACTCTCTGTTCAAATTTTATAAAACTCCCTTATTTTTAAAAATTTTTTAAATTTTTAGTTGCCATATTAGATCCGCCATTTTGAATTTTCGAAATGCGACTTCAGATTCGTTATTAGCAACCCGAAAAAGTCCCTGATACCAAGTATTATAAAAATTCGTTAATTTCTAAAAATTTTCAAAATGTTTTGGTGGCCATATTGGATCCGCCATTTTGTATTTTCGAAAGATAACTTTAGACTCGTATACAGTAACCCGAAAAACCCCTTGATATCAAGTTTTATAAAAATCAGTTAATTTCTTAAATTTTTTAAATTTTTGGCGGCTATATTGGATCCGTCATTTTAGTTTAGACTCATGTGACAGTGCACAGATAAACAGAGTACTCGAAAGTGTTAATTGGAAGAGAAAAACGTCGAATGAATAATTGCTACACTTGAATAATTACCATTTTTATTATTTTTTTCGGTTTTCTGAAATTTTAAGTATGATCCAATTGAATTTGATAATTTTGCTACGCGCCATTGGAAAGCTTACATTTTTCTGTAAATTTTAAGATTTTTTCAAAAATTTTTGGATCAAATAGAAAATGGGCAGCATGGGTGTAAAGTTGAGAAAGAATGCCCCATATATATATATTACATTAGTTATAATTAAATGTTAAGCTTCACTTGTACTCAAACCAAAGTTAAGATTAAAAGTTAAGCATCACTTGTACTCAAATCAAAGTTAAGATTAAATGTTAAGCTTTACTTGTACTCAAACCAAAGATTATGATTAAATTTTTAGCTATTATTAATTAAAATTCTGCTTTTATTTATTTAATTAGACCCTCCTCGTTTGTTCCTCACTTCCCTTTCGAATTTTGCGCAAAGGTTCCGTCCCGGGTAAAAGGGATTCGATTCCTTAACCCAAAAGGGAACCAACGAGCGGTTGACTTGTCGACGGAGTAAAACAACTCTTCCAGTCGCTGACCCGTCGCTAGTTCTAATAAGCCGTTCGGCTCGTGCGATCAGGCCCGCCTATATTGATCGCCGAGTCCAAGAAAATTCTTCTATCAGGACGTAACAATAGATTAAGAATCTTTTTAAATTTTTTGTTTCAGATAATTTTTGTGCCTTAAATTGTGGCGACCATAAGCCGATGTTTTTTTGACACGTCTATATGGACACGCCCATAACTTTTAAAAAACTTTTTTATATTTATAAAAATTTGTAAAGAACATACAAATATAGAAGAATAAATGTACCAAGTTACAAAATTATAACTTTTATACTTTTTCCAAAAAAAATTCCTAAAAAAGGCGTCTAAAATGGTACCAAAAGCGAGAATACCCCCTTAAGGATTTCTACTTAAAAAATTCAGAATAGTTTTAACATTTCAGAAGCCAATCCAAAATTAAACTGATACCTATTTTTGTCTTTAAAGGTTTACAATCTTTATCTAAAATTTTTTTTGTATTTGCATTCAATTCCGAGAATTTTACGTGTATCAAATTGATGAAAATTGTGGAATTATTATTTCAATAATTTGCATATTTGTATTTTGTATTTATTTATCAGGTTGGCAAGAAAGTCATGTCGTTTTTCACCGATAGATGAGTGTATTGGTCATTAAACTCAATTAACTTCACTCCAAACCCTATAATCTTTATACCATTTGACAGCTGACATTTCAAGCTTTTTTTTAAAAAAAAAATCGTCATTTAATAAAGAATTATTTGTTTGGCATCGAGTTAAAGATGGAAAATCGAAAAGAGCATTTCCGTCATATTTTACTTTTATTTCCAAAAAGGAAAAAACGCTGTGCAAGCCCGTCAAAAGTTATGTACTGTATATGGTGAACAAGCCTTGACAAAGTGTCATCCCAGTGTCGTCGCCAGTGTCATCGTTGGTTCTCTCGCTTTCGTTCAGAAGATTTTTCTGTAAAAGATGCACCACGATCAGGCCGGCCAATTGAGATCAATGACGACAAAATAAAAACTTTAATTGAATCCAACCGTCATTATACGACATGGGAGATCGCTAAAAAGCTAAATGTATCACATACAAGCATTGAAAACCATTTAAAACAGCCGTACCGTTTAACAGCCTCATCAGAATCAAATTTTTTTCCGTTCAAAGAATTTTGTAAGGAACGAAATAAGTGATAGTCTGATGGTGCCAGATCAGGGGAATATGGGAGATAACACATCCCATCCAAGCTGCAACAATTTCTGGCGAGTGACTAAAGATGTATGTGATCTAGCATTGTCGTGTTGAAAAACAACACCTTTACGGTTCATCAGTTCTGGGCGCTTCTGTTTGATTGCTTCGTGTAATTTATCCAATTGACGACAATACAATTCCGAATTAATCGTTTGGTTACGTTTAAGGAGCTTGAAAAACCCGATACCCTTATAATTCCACCAAACAGATAGCAAAATCTTCCTTTGATGAATGTCTGCTTTAGAGGTGCTTTGTGGCGACTCATTACGCTTGCTCTACGATTTTTTTCGTTTCACATAGTCGTAAACAATCCATTTTTTATCCCCAGTTAACATTCGTTTCAAAAACGGATCGTTTTGCTCACATTTAAGAAGGGAATCGCTGATATTGATGCGTTTGGTGAGATGAATTTCTTTGAGCTCATGTGGAATCCAAATATCGAGTTTGTTGATATATCCAAGCTGTTTTAAATGGTTTTCAATGCTTGTATGTGATACATTCAGCTTTTCAGCGATCTCCCATGTCGTATAATGACGGTTGGATTCAATTAAAGTTTTTATTTTGTCGTCATCGATCTCAATTGGCCTGATCGTGGTGCATCTTTTACAGAAAAATCTCCTGAACGAAAGCGAGCAAACTAACGCTGACACTGGCGTTTTGTCAAGGCTTGTTCACCATACACAGTACATAACTTTTGACGGGCTTGCACAGCGTTTTTTCCTTTTTGGAAATAAAAGTAAAATATGACGGAAATGCTCTTTTCCATCTTTAACTCGATGCCAAACAAATAATTCTTTATTGAATAACGATTTCTTTTTTTAAAGAAAGCTTGAAATGTAGATCAATTTTTCGCCGATAAGGACCAGAAGTTTTATGAGGCCGGAATCATAAAGCTAATAGAAAGATGGCTAAAAGTCATTGAATTAAACGGACAATATATCACTGAATAGTTTTTGCTTTGTATGAAAAAATCACCTTTTATTTACATAGAAAAAAAACGACATGATTTTCTTGCCAACCTGATATTTATTTTTTTAGATATAGATTAATATATAGATTAAGATTAAAAATAAATAAAATTTCTTGGAAATTACCTGAAACTTGAACCTTGACGTTAAATTCTATAACGCTGCTTGAGACAATCAATAAATAGTAATAGCTATCTTCATAAGGAGAAAATTCTGTGAAAGTGTAACTAGCATTTGTGGTCAGATTTTTGAATTCCATGGGATGAGAATAGTTAAATATTGGTAAAATACGTCCTTTTAAAGATATAGCTTCGATACAAGGCTTGCGAATATCGTACAAGTTGTGTAACACAAAAGTGCAATTCCAGACTGATAAACGGAAGTTCCATATTCCTGACGGAATATATATTCTAAAAAAAATAATTTATGTCAATGTTTTAAATTTTGATATGTAGGGACAAAAAATAGTACAATATATCTTTTCAGCATCATTTCTGTTCTTGCTTAATTAGGTTCTTACAAAATTTTTAAATAAATAAATCAAATCGTATATGTATGAGAATCTGAATGAATTAAGTTCACAGATATATTTTTCTTTAAATAACAATCTTACTTGTAATATGATTCCCTTGCACTTGTCCGCAATATCATCTTATAACCAACGGAAATACTCTCGATATTATCTTTTTGTGACCATAATGCTATTGTACCTATACTGTATTGACATTTGTGTCCGAAACCCTGAAATATAAGTTGCAAGAAAAGAGTCATCACAAACATGTGCATTCGCCTTGAAGAGGTTATTTGGGTCAATAGAGGCCATATCGAACATGTAATACTGTGAAATAAATTTGGAAGGATATCACATTTTATACCTAAAATTTCAATCTTATTCGGTGTAAAATAAAGTTGTAATTAAAAATTAAAATGTATCAACTATTCGTGTGATATCCTATATTATTATTTAATTTTAATATTTAATTATTAACTTTACTAGTTCTTTATTTTAATTATAATTTATCATTAGTTTCGATTAAATTTATTAAATTTTAAGTTTAGTTTTAAATTAAGTAAAACTATCGAATAGAAAACCAATGACTTTGATATATACCCACACGGAACATAATATCCAATGGACGTCCATATAATCTCCATAACTCCATACTACATCTATCTCTACGATAGATATTGGATAGGTTTCTATTAGAAATCCATATTATTTCCATGATAAATGACGATATAAATCCACCATAAATGTCTATTAGACATCTGTTATCGATGTTTGATAGAAGTATCAGTATCCATAGTAATGAATATTGTTAGGGCATCGTCGATGTCAAACGTTTCGGCTGATCATTCAGCCATCTTTAGTGCTAACGTTACAAATCTATTTAGTAGAAAGATTGTGGTTTCAATTCGTCATTAATAAAATTATTTGGAAGTAAAGTCACAAATGTGATTGCGAGATAGTCTTGTTTATGTAGGTGTTAACAGAATGTCACGACTGTGAGACAGTCGAGAACATGGTGACATTCTGTTAACACCTATATAAACAAGACTATCTCGCAATCATATTTG